TGGAAACACAAGAAAAGCCGTCGATCGAAACTCGACATCTGTGCTTTCTTAGTAACATGGAAACACTAGATATGACGTACTTTCTTCGAATACATGAAAACACCAGAGACTCGTCGATCGAAACTCGGCGTATTTAGTACTAGTTCGTACTTCGTCCGTACGCATGGAAACACAAGAGACCCGCACATAGAAATCGACGTGTTTCACTTTCTTCGTACACGTGGAAACGCTCCTCGATGTGATGTACTCTTTCCGTGTGCATGAAAACACCAGAGACCCGTCAATCGAAACTCGGCGTGTTTAGAAATAGCTCGTACTTCGTAAGTGTACATGGAAACACAAGAGACCCGTCCATCGAATTCGGCGAATTGTACTATTTTCGAATACATGGAAACGCTCTGTGTCTTGTACTTTCATCGTGCACATGGCAACATCAAGAGACCGGTCGATCGACACCCGAGGTGTTGCACTTTTGCATGCATGGAAACACCAGAGACCCGTTGGATTATGGGTGCTTTCATATGGGTACTTCGTGTCCATGGAAACACAACAAGACCCGAGGATCGAATTACAAAACTCGCCTCCTCGTCGGCAACTGCTTCGTCCCACCGCCCCGGCTGCAGGTCACGCTCCAGTCGCGTCGCGGTGCTTATCATCTCGTCCAGCTGGGCTTTCTTCATTTGCGACCACCTTGTTGTACCATGGAACATACCGTGATCGTTTTTGGGGTCCCGCCAATTGCGCGGAAGAAGGTAGCCACCGGGACGGGTCGCGTGTTGCAGTTAATTCGGAAGGCAAGTCAGCGCACGTCCACGTGTTGCACAGCGGTGACAGTTGGGAACGACACCATAACTGAAACGTGGCCATAAAGCCACAGGGTATCCAAGCGAGGACTGCGAATGACCGGGGAATTGCATCGACACGGACGCAACCACGGTGGTGCACACACCCTGCAGAGTCACAACATACCATACCCACAAGGTTAGGGTTAGGGTTGGTGTTAGGGTTTGTGGTGTGACACCACCAAATCGCTACATGGAAGCACGCGACGCGGGAACTTGCGCCTGGGGCGCACTATCTTCACGGCCAGAGAGGGGGAGGAGAGAGAGAAGGACATAGAGTGGATACAGATGGCATGACGTGTGTACGAACCTGGTCAAGCCGGACGTGACGCGTTCTCCTAGGAAACCGAGCGGTAGCGCCGTAAACAGTCTCCAGTACTCCGGCTCGCCCAAGGACTTCTCGAGCGGCGGCTTCACTCCGTCCTACCACCATCGTGACATCAGAATTGACTTATTAATACTCTTATTGACGTTGGCATGGATATGGACGTTGACGTTGGCATTGACATTGGCATTGACGTTGCGCTAACGTTGACCTTGGCGGTGGCACTGACGTTGGCATGGACATTAACATTGACTGAGGACAGATTGCACCACAGAAACATGACGCATGGCGGTTGGAAAGGTGGGGAATTCGTCATTCGTTACCCCAGCTGGTCCAGCAAAAACATTCCGAGATGACTATTTATGAGGTATTGGACGTTTGCCATATATTCTATGGCATATATTCATCATGGCATAGCTCTGAGCTCTTGCAACACAGCGTAGGCACCGATAATAGTGTCCACCTAGGAACAGAGAGAGAGAGACAAAGAGGCAGGCACGCAAGCAGGCCAGCAGAAAGGCAGACAGACACACAGACAGACACGCAGCCAGCCAGCCAGCCAAAACGACAGTACGTACCTGTTTTCCCGACCTCGATAAGGAGTACGACCGCAGCGTGGCGTAGTTGAGCCCCCAGATGTGAGTGTCGACGCCCACCGTCAGGTGCACGGACGGGTCGGTGTCGTCTTCGGACATGCCGGTGACGGTGTCCGTCGTGTGCGGAAACCCTGCCGGCACATAGAGGAACTTTCAACAGAGGCCGGCGGGGGAGG